CACACACACACACACACACACACACACACCTATATTCATACACAGCACCCTCATGCATCCTGATACTCCCACACTGATACAACCACCAATATGCCCCCCCCCCATGACTGTACTTTGTAAAAGAGGCATTGTAGGGCAATGGTGGGCCTCCCTGGAAAGGGGGCCAATGCAAAGGGAGAGATGGGAAGAAGGGCAGGGCAGCACAAGGCAGTAGGGAGCAAAGGAAGAGGTCTAGGAGAATGGTGGGGAGCATGGAGAGTGGTGGAAGGCATTGGGGATTGGTGTGGAACAAGCAGAGGATGGTGTGGGGGAAGTGAAGGGACACTGCAGGCTTCACTGGACATGCCAGAAGGCTGTGCTGTTTTCACTTCTGCTTTAGCTAAACCAAGTTAGTAGCAAACCAATTTTTTTCACCCACCTCGACAGACATAAGAGGTAACATTCTGAATGAAGATGGGAAGAAGGGCAGGGCAGCACAAGGCAGTAGGGAGCAAAGGAAGAGGTCTAGGAGAATGGTGGGGAGCATGGAGAGTGGCGGAAGGCATTGGGGATTGGTGTGGAACAAGCAGAGGATGGTGTGGGGGAAGTGAAGGGACACTGCAGGCTTCACTGGACATGCCAGAAGGCTGTGCTGTTTTCACTTCTGCTTTAGCTAAACCAAGTTAGTAGCAAACCAATTTTTTTCACCCACCTCGACAGACATAAGAGGTAACATTCTGAATGAAGGTGTCATCCAGCAGGGCAATATACTCTGGTTGGGTAAATGTGAGGCCCCCACAGGATATCTTACTTAATTTTTCAGAATCTGGAGGGTCATGGAAAATGTCACTGGAACCCACAGGGACAACCTAAAGGATGATAGATATTATAATGCTTACACTTAGATAAATGAGTGTTATAGAGGTTTTCCGATGCCCCCCAAATGTGAAAGAAACTTATTCTTCACTTGGAAAGTTTAGAGGAACAATACAGCAAACATGGTAAGAAAATAATACTGCAGTACAAATATTATAGATCTTAGGTACAAACACTACCACAAGCTGCATTGTCTGTAAAGCCAAGAAAGCAACCCTTTTAGAGAATCCAACATCAATCAAGGTCATGGACATTTCAGGTAAATGTGAACAACAATCAAGCCTTATCAAAATCTAGGACACTAAGCATATACACAGATTCTTCAAAGGGACGTGACAGTCAACACTACCCTCTAATCAACCTCCATTACATCTAGATGGTTTCTGCTAATCTATTTGCAGAAATGCTGCTGTTATGTAATCTATATCTGCTGTCCTTCTTACTCCAAAAGAAGACACATGGACTCCTGAGCATTTGTTTTCCATCCTCCCTTATATTGATTTCACCTGAGTATCTCTTTCACAAAGAACAGTGATTGGTGTTCGATCGTGAAATGTGTCAGTCCGTCCATCTGTGATGACAATAACAACTCTTTTGTGAGTGAAAAATGGGGGCAGACGTTGTTTGGTGTACTCAAGAGCCTCTCCAGTAAAGGTGCCACCAGCAATCCAGTGAAGGTTCATCACAGCCCTTGAAATCAAGCATCAGAAAGAATCAGAGTCAGCAAATAATACCTCATCCAATAAAGATTTATACTTTATAGACAGATGTTTGGATTCTTTCTTTCAGAAATCCTGGTTTGTGTTTTCATTCCAGAAATGTGAAACTAGCTTTGAATATAATTATAATAGCAATAAATTCGTCTTGTCTGTTCGTGTATGAAGCTCAAACTCCTTGCATTACCTTATAATCACAAGCAAACTTAAGTATTTCATTGGTTATTTCTTTTTAAAGCAGAGAACATCTGAGCAGGATATTTTTCAGCTATAGATCGGTGGGTGTTAATGATAGGGAGTTAGGGAGGGCTCTAGAATAAACTATCCAAAGAAACAGGATACATGTCTTGTTTTTTTCTGGAATGAATGGCAATAAACCAGAGGAAATCACAATTGTTTATCTAGAGGATGAAGTGGTGCCTTTCCAGAAAAAAAGTAGTTGTTATAAATATTTATATATACATTGGATGCATATAGTTAAACCAATTTTCAAACAACCAGAGAACCCAAAGGATGCATCTTTATCTACATGAGCCAAATGACATTAGCCAGCTAGCTCTGCTTATTCATCATTTTGCTAATATATATTTGAATGGCAGATTTAACATTAATCCACATTATTTATCTATTGCAGATGACATGACTATCTGTGTCAGTGTCGCTGACACTGACTGAT